GGGGGGGGGGGGGCGGGCGGCGGCGGCCTGGCGCAGGTGTGCGAGGAATGAGCGAGACGGCGGCATTGCCCTGCCGGTGCGGTGGTGAATACCGCCTGGCGGGGCGGCCGCTATTGTGCAGCTGGGAAGACCGCGGCCGAGTATGGGAACGTGCAGGGCCCCCGCCCTCCCTTCTTCGGGCGGGCTCCGGGAGGGGGACCCGGGGCTACCGCCAACTCTTCGTGCCTCTCTCGGGCGTGCGGTGGCTAACGACCAGCAGGGCGGGCCGGTTGCCTGGTCGAGGGAGCGGAGGACAACGGCGCGTCTGGCGGCGGGCCGGGCATCTCCCTCCCTCTCTCACTCTCACTCTCTCCCAACGGAGACGCCCCTCCTTCGATGCGGGTGAAACGCCCGAGCGGAACGGCGGTTCGGGACATCGAAAGTGAGGGCACGGGAATGTGTCGCGAGACGGCATCCTTCCCGCCCTCCCGCGCCTCGCCTGGACGGTCGTCCTCCCGGCCCCGCGCCCCCCCGTACCCCGGCCCGGTCCCCGAAAAAGCCTGACCGCCGGGAGACTGCCCGAGCAAGTGTGCCCGAGGAGAGGGGGGGGGGTAAGGCGGAGCGGCAAGGGAGGCGAAAAAGCCCCGATCAGCTCCAGGTCTACGGGGGGGGGACGGGGCCGGGGCCGGGGGGCGGCGGGGCGGTTGGGGGGCGGGGCCCGTCTCCCCACGGGACACCCGGCGCGCCGTGAGGCCACAACGCGTGGCCCCAGAAGCAGCGCTCGGCGTGGCTCAGGGCGCGTCGGGACCTGTGAGCGAGCGTGCATGCGTGCGCGCGAGCGCGCACATGGGCTCCCCTCTCCCCGGGGCTGGGGCCGCGCGTGCGGCCTCGGCCTCGCCCACGCGCCAAACTTCCGGAGGGGGGGGGGGGGGCTCGCGCGGCCGCGGCGCGCCGCGCCGACATCCCCGGTTCCCGGGCCCAGAAGCAGGGGGGGGACGATGGGGGGGGGGGGGGGGGCGGGGGGGCAGGCACCGTCGGCCAGCAGGCCCCCGCGGCTGCGCCCACGGTCGAGTGGGAGTTGGGATTGTTTTCCCAGCCGGGCGAACTTGACCACGGCCGGGGGCCTCGCGGGACTCCCCCCCCCCCCCCCGCCCCCGGCCCACCCCTGGTGTCGGCGCCCCGGAGCCTGGCCGGGAGGGGCGACCGGCGGGCAGGCCCAGAGCCAAGCGAGGCCGCTGACGGAGCGGCGTGGAAGCCCGGGCGTTCCTCAGAACTCCCCGGCGGCCAGGGTAAACCCTGGACAAAGTCCGCCGGGCCCGCCTCAGCGGCTACACCGCAGCGGCCGTGCGCATGCCCCCGCGGCCGCGCGAGGCCCGGTTGACAGAGGCGCCGCGGGTGTCTCCACCACCACCTTTGACAGCCGTCCTTCCGCCCAGGTGGGATGAAGGGGAGGGGCCGGCGGGCTGGGGGGGGGGCAGCCCCGACCGTCGCATCCCTCCGCCCGCCCTTCCGGCCGGCGGCCTCCCGACGGGAGAAGGCAAAAATCTCGCCGATCCCATGGTCTTCCCGTGACCAGACGTCGACAATTCGCATGCGCCGGCATCTGCCATCACTCGCGCCTTGCTGCATCGGGCAGCCGCCGCATTTGCCCCCGAGGAAAATCCGCCCGGATCCGGGCCGAGGCCCCCCCCTCTCCAGCCCCTGCCCAATAGGCCACAACCCAGCACTTGCCCCCCCTGTGTCGCGTCCCGGCACGGGTGGTAATGGCTGATTGCACCGCGCGGAATGCCTTGTGCCGGTGTACCCCTTGCCAGTCCCCCCCCCGGCCGGTCCCCCTGTGCATGCGGGCCCCGGGCGCGCCGCCGGCGTGTGACGGGGACTGCCCGATCGCGAATGTGTCGTCCCTCGGTATGGGGTGTATGTCCAGCGAGTGTTGCATTCATTTGTGTCTCGTCCCCCCCCCCCCTCCCCGCGCCCGCGCCCTGTTGGCGCCTGCCAGGCGGGCCGGATGCGTGTGAGAGAGGGACCTGGCGCCTCCATGTTTATGACTCGGGACGCTACCCCCTGAGGGTGTTTGGCCAATTGCCAGTTCCTCTCACCTCCCCCCCCCCGGTTCA